TATTTTGCGGGGTTTTCTTGACAAGAGGAATGGCTGTGTTTATTGTTTAATGTTATATGACCCCGGTTATGCATAGTATATATGTGACTTACGAAAATGAAAATGGAAAATAAAAAACACATTTACCAAAAAAAAAATAAAAATACACGGGGAAATGCCATTGGGGAAAATCCATTTAGGTTTAGGTCTCCCTGAATTTGCAGAGGAAGCAGCATGACTTTTGAGCCAGCCTTATATACATTTCCTCTTAAAATACATGGGGAAATGCCATTGGGGAAAAATTCCACGTAGGGTTAGGGTTATCTCTCCATGAATTCACAGAGCAAAACGGACATCGCCAATGGATTCGGAGCCCATCAGTATGGTTAGGAGGGAGCACGCCTTTTGAGCTGGCCTTATGTACATCTTCTGGCAAAATACATGGGCAAATGCCATTGGGGAAAATCCATTTAGGGTTAGGGTTTGCTCTCCCTGAATTTGCAGAGCAAAACGGACATCGCCATTGGATTCGGAGCCCGTCAGTATGGTTAGGAGGGAGAACGCAGCCTTATGTACATTTCCCTCTACAATTAATTCATATCCCAGGCACAGTGTTTGAGTTTGGTTTTAAACGAGCAAGTTTTTAAAGTCATTAGCAGGATTGTCACATTCAGCTGCGTTTCATTTGCTTTTGTATTTGTTTTAAGTGTCTGATTCTAGCAGGAGCAACCTGCATATAGTGGTTCATTCTAAAGCCTAAAATAAAGGTAGTTTGGTATGATATGTGAATCCGTCCCACTGAAATTATTCCATAATGTTGATTTGAGAATGGTTAAGAGCACAAGATTGCCAACGTCTGATGAGAGATATGGAAGAAGAAGAGGAGGAGGAGGAGGAGGAGGGGGGGAAGGGGAGGACAACACAAAGTAGCCAAAATGAATTTTAATACACTGAGAAGAAAAACACTAGTTGGAAGGGGGGAAACCAAGAAGTAGTAAAATATTTGGAAAAAGAATTTTAAAGAAGACATAGTTGTTTATCCAGCAGCTAAAACAAATAACTAAATCAACTCAACAATTGCATCAATTCAGCAAACATCTTTTAGATGCTTTTTCTGTTGTCAGAAATGAGGGCTAAAATTAGTTATACACCATAGACTTTTTAATGAATTAATTCATGCTGTCTTTGCAGAAACCATATGGCCAGGCCAAGATCCAGATGGATTTGGACTGCTGAGGTAGTAAGTTACAATCACTCTGCCAGAATGAGGTCCCAATTACAAAGACTAAGTTACCAGGTAGAACAGGTTGTAGAAGTCCCTGCTAGGGAAAAGGGATGTGGCATTCGACTGCCATGGTTAATATATTCTGTCCCCACTTCCCTAATAGCAGCATATGGAAAAAATTGTAATGCCATTTCTTCCACATTCATCCCTTGGGTTCATGAAGCATTTTCTGTTCACTGTAAGCCTTTTTAATATGAGCGATTTATCTCTGATAGCCTAATTTTTGTTACCGTATATATTCATGGATAAACTGAATTTTAGGTTCCAAAATACACCCACCCACCCCCAAGTGGGTAATTTTATTCACAAATAGACTTACCAATGTGAATATAGTTGAGTTTTCCACCAGCTTTTTAAAAGTACCCATATACCCCACATATACTTGTGGATAAGTCTATCTGTGGATAAATCCAAAAATTTCACCTGCAGATAAAAATTAAAACATACAAAATTTTTGAGGGTTGGCTTATCTGTAAGTATTGCATTTTCATGCTATTTTGATTTAAAAATTGAGGGTTTGCTCATTTGCAGATGAGCTTATCTTCAAGTATATACAGTCCTCCACTAAGGGTGGGCAGGTGGGCAGGCAGGCACTGATGAAAGCCCCAAAATGCACAAAGCCGCAGCTTCTGATTTGTGGATCAGTTGAGGTTAAGACTTCAAGCATGTTCTACCATGGACAGCTCCCCACCCAACCTGAGCACATATCAGTATGTGAGTAAATTCACCATTTCATGAACAGGAGAAACTTGACACAAATCTCAGTTTATGTGGTGGCAACTTCTTCCCAGTCCGTTAATGATGGAAAACAAGTCCAGAAGATACTTGTTTATGAACATTTTAAGTTCTGACATCATCCTAAACAATATCTAGTTCGGTTCTGACTTTGTATATTTTTCTCGATCTATCCTTTGTGGTTTGTATACTATGTTTATGGTTTAATATGTGAACTCGTCTCAGCAATTTTTTAAATAATCTCTGTGTATTTTTTTATTGTATAATGATAGCATAACTGAATGTCTCAGAAATATCTGGATGACCAAAAGTCATAATTGATAAATTTGGTGTAGTTTATTTTGTATGCATAGCATTATTCTTCTGTTTTTCTCTCACAATAGCCCTTTACATTTAGTCATGGTGGAAGATAATGACTGGTTCAAAATCTTCCAAAACTTTATGGTTGAGTGAGGATTTGTATTTGGATCTTCCTTGATCAGCCCCCTAACCTGCACACTGCAATGTCCTTCTAATAGTAGTCTGCCTTAGCAAGGTCATTCTAGTATTGCCATCAGGCATGTCTTAGTCTGTAGGATTTGATGATGGGCTTCTAAGAGAAAGCAATGCAAAATAAAGCAAACATACATATTCTCCCATGATCTAATACAGCCATATAGTCTTCTTGCTAATTTTATTTCTTTACAGAATTCACATGTCAAATTCATGCAGTGTTTTCTAGATAATGAGAATGTGCCTATCTGGGAGAAGACAGAAAACAAGTCTAGCAAAATGTCATTTTAACTCTGGCAATTTTCAGACCCATATTAATTTATGACAGCCTCTAGGGGACATTTGGTTTCGAAGCTATTACATCCAACACTTGCTTGCTTTATTGAAAGGTGACGAACTGAAAAACAAAATAGAAAAACCCAACAACTCCCCATACACATAAATCTCTAGGGTTTGGGGTGGGGGGAGAGAAATCAAAACCATACTAATTTACAACGTAACAGAAAATGTGAATGTAATTAAATGGAAATATTATAAAAAATATTTTTCTGCCTGCCATTGTACAAATAATCATCTTTATTGTAGAACGTACTGAAGATGAAATGTTTCTTTCCAAAAACTAAGTTCTTTTGTTTATTTATTCAATTTCTGTTGACATCCAACTCAACCAAGTGACTATGGGAAGTTTTAGAAGTATAGTGAATCAATTGTAACATAATCTATACCTTTCACTTTGAATTTAAACTGGAGATTTTTAATCAGAAAAAACTCTTTGGCACATTCAAGTCAGGAAGATACTAAAACTGTCCTACCCCTTTCTGGATAACTTGGTATACCAGTTTCTTGTTAAATAAGTTATTTGCTAGATCTGACTTCAGTTGATCTCTAAAAAAATTCATCCTATTGTTAATATGAGGTCATGATCTCTTCTACTTCAATGAACATCTTCCCTAGTAACAAATTAGTTTGACTAAATGTAACGTGATAATTGACATTGCCTACTGGATAATTTGTATATCTATTGTTTCTGATGGTTAAGATGCCAGCATTGATCAAAGGATTTGGATAAACACATTAATACCCTTTTACTTTCTAGACATTACTACATAAAGAGTAAATTCAATGATATGTTGCATGCTATTATTTGTTCCATGTATGATATTGCTAATGAGAAATGAGATATGGAGGAGAAATTGAACCTACACAGTGGCCAATATCAGATTATATATTTATTTATCACATACTGTATGTACTTTAGCATAGATTTCTTACACTATATACTTGTTTAAGGTGAAAGGTGAGTCATAATCTCACTTTATTATCAGATAGAAGTACAAGGTCTCCATTGGGTGTCACAGCTGAGTCTGGTCAAATCTAGCCCTCATATCTGAGTCAGGGATGCAGCATTGTGGCCTTCCAAATATTGTTCAACTCCCATCAGCCTTAGTCAGTTCTACTTATATTTAGGATGTGGACAGTTGCTGCTGCATGATGTACAGAAGGCTATAGGTGTCCAGAATTTAGCAGGGGATTTTAAGATTCCAAGTGAAAACTGTAGTTTTAGTATTGTATATACTAATGCCTAGAATGTCTCAGGTTTCAGTCAGAATTCCGTTTTTCTTCTTCAGTTCTGTTCTAAGCATCTATATGGATGTGATTGTTCTTTACTAGATATTTTCCCATGTTAATCTGATCTCTTAAAAAACACCAGTGTTTCACAAATTTTGAAAACATATTGCTTTTGAAAAGATTAAGGCTTCTTGCTGGAAGATCAATGTATAAGGAAGGATGGTATTTTTTTCCAAGTGCTGGACATCATTGTATGGTTTTGAAGGAGGTTGTGGGTGCCAAAAACTAAAATAATAATAATAATCCATGTCTTAATTTCACTCTTACTATTTCATATCATCTGTCAAATGCTTAAACAACCCTTCAAGCAAAATAACCCCTTAATATATAAAAAATATTGGTATTCTTTCTATATTGCTGCTAGAAATCCCATAAGAGCTCATATAAGAATACCATGAATGTGGTGGTGGTGATAATTTAACTAATTCCATTTTCAATTATCTCTAATGGCCTTTCATTTCATTTGTTTATTTGCTGTATCCCATCTTAGCTGTCCTTTCCTCTCTGCCCTATCAACTCACCAAACTTGCTATGCTTCCTGCACATCAGTCCGACCACAACTATTGTTTTCTTTCCAAAGTCTTGAGATGTTTTATTTCTGTAGAACAAGGTAAGGAGATCTGCAGTATTTTCTGGGAATGGATCTCCAGATGTTTTAGAAAGATAAGATGTTTTATGGAAAGAAAGAAGTTCCTTTATGGGACGGATGATGATAATAAGGCAGATACTTTTGGGATGTGGTTTGCTGTATAATGGACGCAATCCACTTGGCTATATCTGTATTGAGCATCTGCAACGGCATTAGATTCAGACCACCATGAATATTTGTGCTAAATAAACAAACAAATAACAATAACCTTCCAATCTCATTATACTATTTCTTTGTTTTCTTCTTTCCACGGCCAGCACTTTTTTTCTTCTCTTCTACTTCTATCTTCTCTTCAACAACAGGCTCTTGCTCTTCTTCACATTCCTTAATACTGGTAACATAAAGACTGGATATGGAGAAAAATCAAAGAGAAGTTTGCACTGTAGATTGATTAGCAAAGTCATAGATAATCACAACTCATATGGACACTAACATCCATTTAAAGACCATACTCTGTACGGAGCTTAGCAGAGCTTTTTATTAGATACCAGAATTTCTTCTCCTAATCATTCTAGGGGTCAATCCACTGATGTGCAAAGATTTTTAAACATTGGGGAATGGAGGGAGGAGAAACCACATTAAAATAGTATGTATTATATCCAAGTATTAAAGTGGAAGGGAAGGGAGAAAGGAAGGAAGTGAAAGAAACTCTGAAATTCCGTAAATCTATGGATATGGTAAAATGACAACTAAGAAATAAATCACAAGCTAAAATTTCAGAATATTTTTTAAAAACGGGGGGGGGGGGATAAATAGAAACTTTGTTTTAAAAACAAAGAAAGTTATAAAAAAATAGATATGCAATGACTGATTAAATGTTTTTAAAATGGAAGCTGGATGGGCTACATTTCAATTAACAAGTGATAATAATGCCCTTTAAAGCTTGTGAAAAGCCAAAGTGTTCCTATTTGATAGCCTCTTTCAACAAATGCCTGCCCTTTTTTTGTTCTCAGGCTGCCACCTTGTAGCACGAACCTGAAGACAAGTCTCAGCAGCAAAATGCCTTATGAAAAGCAGGTAGATACAAATTTAATTTGCATAATTTACTATGAATGCATAACCTGAGTTTTGCTAGAAAGTGCAAGCGACACTATATTCAAAGGGCATTCAGCAGATTTAAGTCGGAAGTTCTATACATTTAGCTTGGAAAAAAAGTCCATTAATTTAATAGAATTGCTTTCTGAGAATCTAATTATGGATACAGTATATTTCAGATTGTTACACTTCCGAAAGCAATTCTTAGGTCAAGAATGATCAAACTTTCAGGTACCACTGAAACTGAAATACTTAAGCATCAAAATAATTTTGAAGATTACTGCATCGCTTATTTCTGTGAAAAATTCTGAGGGAAACAAATGGACTTGTTCTGACTTCCCATAGCTTCTTGTGGCCACAATCCTGGAAACTGTTAAGTAGTATTTCATATGTAACATAAACATTTGGTGTTTCAAATTGGAATGTTTTGGTTCAGGATCCTAAACAAAGGATATTCTTATTGCCATTAACACTATTCACCATTTGCCTGTTTAGTTTAGTTTTCGATTTATGGACATTTTTATTATTTATTTATTAAACTTGTATGCCATCTCACTGTTTAAGGTGACCGGGCGGTTTACAATATAAGAAGTGACAGAAAAGGTTCGTCTCTTGATAGGGTCTGAGGGGGCCCCTTCTGTCAGAATGAGTGGGGAGAACCAGTCCCCTTGGGGAAAGGCGGTTCCTCAGATATCCTGGACTCATGCCATAGAACAGGAGATGCAGAACAATGGTCCCTTTATGACTTGTGGACTTCAACTCCCAGAATTCCTGAGCCAGCATTGGCACCACAAGTCATAAAAAGGCCATTGTTCCCCACCTCTGCCATAGAGTGTTTTAAAAGTGATGATCAACAACTTGAATTGAACCTTTTTATGATTCTTAGTGACTCTATAAAGAATTGGGAAGCATATATATTTAAAAATATATACATACACATTAAAATAAAATGAAAATAAATAAATAAAATAAAATATTTTTTCTTTCCTTTGAAAGCAAATACAACCTACTGGTTTCAAAAGATGGGCCAATTTTGGGGGGAGAAATTCTCAAACAGGGCGTGAATTTGAATGACTGTTCCTACTTAGCATCTGCTCTACAGGGCACGCTATATTGCCTCTGTACCAGAGATTTCTTAGGAAAGGCAGTATTTGATTCAGCTTGCTACAATTTGGTCACTGGTTAAGAAACACATCTCTGGGAATGTGACACATCTTATCTTCTTTTTAGCCACTTGAATGATTGCTCTTCGATCCCACTAGTTAATACATTGAAAAGATTCACCTTTTATCCTCTCCCTTGAACAATCTCAACAACAATGTGCCAACTGTGGCAGTCCTATTTACTAATGCCATATATGCATTCAGTATTAAATACATCGATTGGATTTTGTCATCTGCGTTTGATCTTCAGACTCTCTGCATCTAATTGTCAGCTTCATTCTGAACTGAACTGAACTGACTTTTCAGAAAAGTCAGGAAGGGCAAAGAAGGAAAAGATGGATAAGAAAAAAAAATTATGGAAAGCTGCTTTAAAAAAAAAACCTAAGAAAATTTGACCCTTGGTTAACTTTTTCAACAAAGATAAAACATTTAGGACTATCTTGACCCTAAATTCATTTCCTCCAAAAAGCATGGAAACATCTCTAAATCAATCTGATAAAACCATGGTTTGAAGGGAGAAAGCTTTCAAAAAGTCTTTTGCGAGCCAAGTAAAGTGGATTATTTTTTTTAAAAAGGAATGCCGTAATATCTTTTCAGTTGTCATTAATTAAAAGGTAGTAAATACCAACAAAGAAAAAAGGGGTATAAAATTACTACACCCTCAATCCACCTACCTCTACACTGTAGAATTAAAGGACCTTTTAGGTCCTTTTAGACAAAGGATGTCAAACTTGCATCATCATGGCGGCATCATGTGACATATCGTGACTTTCCCCCCCTCTGCTAAACTGGGCATGGGCGTGGCCAACACATGACACATCTGGCCCATGGGCCGTGAGTTTGACAGCCCTGTTTTAGACTATAGACTGTAATTTAGGTCCTTTTCTCTTTTATGTAGCATAGTAAGAGGCAACCTGGTGCATCTAGATATTCTGGGCTATTCCTTTCCTGCACCTCCTGCGTGAGCCAATAAAACTCAAGGCCTAAAATCATCTGGAGGTTGTCTGATTGCCTGCACTGTCTAATGTGATGCTTGTTCTACTTTTTTTCCCTTTTAAGCCAATGCAAAACCTCCTTGTTCACAAAACAGATGAAATATGTGTGTTTTTTCCTAATGTCAGATGGTCTCAAGAGGGAGCTGAAGCAAAACAATTTTTGTTCCTGGAAACCACTGCAGCCTGTCAAAATATCGCATATTGAGCTAGAACGACAAAAGGTTTCTTGGCATCAGGAAACTTATATTGATTAAAAATATCTTAGTTATACATGCTTGTCACTATGTTTATATTATATATTTATCTATTAATATTATGTATTGATAAATTTATGAGCTACTTCAGTCCAGGCTAGTCTCAGCATTATACAAAACCCACAGTCACAGCCAATGCCATAATGTTAATTTCCCATGCTATTTAATCACACTGACCTTTCTAAACTTTGATAAGAGGGTTTCTTCGGAGGTTCAGCAATAGGACTGGGGAAAAAGAACAAATCTCTTTTGAGGAACGTGCAAAGTCATTTTGTTCCACCCATTATACATTCCTGCAATGAACTGCTCAAATGCTTATTAAGTATTTCGCCTTAAAACAAAGTTGCAAATAGCACAAACTAAGAATACATAAACAAAGCAGCTGGGATTGCCATGCAGCAGAGTGTTTAAGACGGCAGCACCTTCTGGTTCTTATAATTGGAAAACGATTGGGACTTGTGTTATAGCACCCAATGCTCTGGCATCACTATACCCATTGCCATCCTTGGGGATACCATAGGTTCAAGTGTTCCATTTAAGACTAAGGACATCTAGATTCAAGTCCACAGTCAACTCTGGCTGGTCCCTTTAGGTCTGATAGCTCAAACAGCTTCTAAGAAAGGGCAAGGGGTAGAATGGGGAAAATATGATCAACCCCTCCCCATTGTCATGGATACCATAAGTACGTATACATCAAGAAGAAGAGAATGAAAGCTTGAACATTAATGCACTTGGGGGTGGGGTTGTAGAAAATGAATTAATTTCCCTCTGTTGTTATCACACTCTTTCTCTCACACACAGCTCACCAACATTTTATCAGTTGTAATATTTTTTCTATGAAATGTTGTAGCAGTGAGAATGCTGGACTGGAATCCCAAAACCAAGGACCTACTTGACCACAGAACACAGTAAGTGACAGATCAGTCATTTTTCTCGACCCATCCTATCTCATAGAGTACGAACACAAATTACTATAAGCTCCTTAGAAGAAAGGTAGCATGTGGGACATTAATATTGTATTTTATTCCATTCCTATCTCCATTTTAACTTCACAACAATGCTGCAAATTACATTAGGTGGAATTACTAATAAATTTTAATTTTTTAATTTTAATTTTAATTTTGTCTGTATCACCCCCTTCCCTGGTTGAGTTGTGAGCCGCCCTGAGTCCCCTTCGGGGGAAAAGGGCAGCATATAAATAAAATCAACATTCAACATTACATGAATGCTCCCTCAACTCCATAGATGAAGACTAAAGATCTGAATTCAAACCCAACGACTGAATCACTATCTTGCTCTGCATTCCCCCATAATAACTTCAGAATTAAGTAACAAGTATCCATTATTAAAACTATTCCAAAATCAGAGTCCATGAGAAAGAAGATCTACTCCAAAAGCAACATATGTACAATGAATTACAACTTGATACTCATGCTAGAAAAATATCCCTGTCCCTACTGTAATTACATGTCACATTTTTTCCACTTAGATCACAGGCTAAATGTTCCCACAATATATGTTTTAAAAACCTGTATTGCTTTTAAGTGCCAAGAGATGAAGAAACCAAGTCTACAAAGAGTTAAATAATTTTACCAGAGAACATTTGTGAAAATCATACCTCGCCTGCTAAAGATTTCAGAGAAGTAAAACAACTTTATCATGTGAAATTCATGGCTTGATCACTTAATTATTTTTTAATTTGAAAATTTAATCAACACAAGGAATAGGAAATAGATGATCTACAGTAAACATTATTTTAATTAGCTAGAATGAATGACAATAGGTTGTTGCTTGGTTCCTTTCTGCTCTAGCCACGTAAACACAGAAATTGGATTGCTAAGAGTCAAATGCTTATAACTTCCCATATATAAGATTTCAAGTTTCCTTTAGTTTGGGAATTCTAAAAATCTTACAAACTACTGACATTTTTTCTGAAATTCTGATAGCTTCACATAAAAGTGGAGGTAGTTTTTTATCATGTGCTAAGATGTGTGTGCAGTGGTGAAATTCAAATAATTTAACAACCGGTCCTCTGCCCCAATGATTTCTTCCAATAACCAGTTCACCAAACTTCTCAGAAAGTCAACAACTAGTTCTCCCGAAATGGTGCCAACTGGCTGAATCCCACAAATGTATGGTATCTGCACCAGAGGTGGGTTCCTACCGGCTTGGACTGGTTCAGCCAAGTAGGTAGTAACTTGGCTGGCCATACTCCTGAACTGGTTCTATCGGTGGAGCCATAGGCGGCACCATCTTGTTTTTTGCTTCTGCACATATGCATAAGCCATTTTTTATTACTGTGCATGTGCGCGTAGCATGCATCAAGCGCACAAAGCACGTCCCTGAGCGAACCGGCAGAAAACTGAAGCCGGAATCCACCCCTGATCTGCACATGTGCATCATGGCATGGATTTGTATGCTGATGCTTGAAAAGGCTACCACTCCCCAAATTAAAGTCAGAGAATGCTGACTTTGGCCCAAATTATATGATGCTTTTTTTTGCAAAGTTTAGTTCTATATAGTTATGAAATGGGATGGTCGTATCCAACAAAGGATATATTTCCTGCAGATGTGAAGGTTGCAGAGCAGGTCAGATTTTTGTTCAGCACGTGCAATGATAATTGCAGAAAGTCATTGAAATTCTTGTTTCCAAACAGATGTAGATTCTCTGTTCCAAGCAGCATAAATAAGTCTTTTTCTGTTAGGATGTTCTATCTATATCAGCAAACTAGATGAGCTGCATAGGACAATGAGTTAAGTAGAGCACCAAATATTTTTTGGGGAAAAATCCAAATAAAATAAGTTACAACTTTTGTGGTGATGTGGATACTAATTGCATGGTTTGTCTAGGGCAGATATTTCAAACTCCATTTCACTGAGGGTTGTGTTTGATCTCGGGGGGACGGGGTGGACATGGCCAGGGTGGGTATGGTCACTTTAACGTCACTCCTGTGGTGGCCAAGTACTAAGGCTTGACTTCCCTCAGATCCTAGCTCACCCTCATTATAATCTCCTTCTTTCCTTCCTTCCTTCCTCTCTTCTTCTTGTCATTTTGTCATTTTATTAGCATTTATAGGCCGCCCTTTTCCCTGATGGGACTCAGGGCGGCTTACAATGATAGGGGAAGGGAGTGCAGA